GCAGCTTTCTAGCTTTTCTGATTCTCGAATTAGCAACTTACCAGCCAAAAATTTTACGCGTCCGTAAATGGGAACCGCGTGGAAAAGGGCGTTCATTTTGGGAGTAGCAGCCCGAAAATGCATGTAGATTAAATTCCTAAAGTTTCAGTCCTGTAGCTTTTGTAGGTCTGGATATGAAAAATCGGTACAGACGAACATACAGACAACTCTTCATTAGTATGCGTTTTCTGCATTGCATAGATGCGATAAATGCATAAAAATAGCAATTTTTTGTCTTGGACATTTATGGGAGTTGACCGGAGCTGATGTTTTGGTAATGGTTTTTGTTAAATACATGTGACAAGGTTGGTGCTTGGGTGCGCGTCGGCGAGTGCGTTCGCCCGGTGCTCGTGTCCCGCTTGTTACATGCATTTTTATCATTTCAGAATTCGATTTGCAGTGTTGGAGTCAACGCAGAACATTCCTGGTCTCATTATGCCCGAGGATGTCGCGAAATGTCTGCAGCGTTGGCGATTTGTTTCGGAATTGATGCAGCAGCAGGACGGTGAGGGGGCTGATGCACTGGACGATCGTCTCGAAAGCTCTGGGAGATCATACGAGTATGATAACACTTCCTAGTGCTTGTTACCGTATTTATAGTTCACGTATTTACTGGTGTTTTTTGCTTTGCATAAATGAGATAAAAATTGGGCACATAAAAATACCTGGCTGCAAAAGTGAGACAGGCGACAGGTCACCTGAGGATGGTTTATGCGCAGGAAATTCTCAGGACACGCCTACCAAAGGGGGTACGGTATTAAAACGGTAGTCGGTCTTTCAGAAAGGATACGGTACCGATGGGTATCAAGCCAGACATCTTCCAAAGAGGATACGGTACTAACACGATTGTCAGCCAGGTACATCTTCTCAGGGGGCATATGGTACTGGTGCGGAAGTCAGCCGGGTATCATTCAATGGAAACAGTACCAGTATGGTAGCCGGGCAGAAACCTTTCGTTGGGATACGGTACTAACGCGGGGGTCGGGCAGTCACATTCCCAAGGGAGTACTGTGGTGATATGGTAGCCGGACAGAAGCCTTTCGAAGGGATATGGTACTTCCCCTGCATTTTCGAGGGAACAAATCGAGCATATTTCTACATTTGATTAATTACTGTTTCAAAAATAAGGGAATAAAAATAGACATTTTTCATTTTTGGAGAAAATGTGATTTTTTCTATCCTCCCATATAAGGCGTAGGAGAGAGGACA